ATTGGGGACTGTGACCCCCAAACTGGGAGAGTGGCTCCAACAGATTCCAGGAACAACATCTGAGATCTCTGTCCAGAAGACTGCAGTCCTAGGAACAGCTAAGATGCTGCGCAGGACCCTCAAGCTCCCAGGCCTCTTTTAGAGGGCCCGAGCTTGAAGGAAGGAATACAAGACCGCCCCAAAGTGGGGGTAACATACACACACACACACACACACACACACAGTGAAACCTTGGATTGCGAGTAACCTGGTCTACAAGCCAAGAATTTTGATTTGATAAACGAGCAGGGTATCGCAATACGAGTAGTACATACACTATCTGCCGAGCATCACGTCACAACTGAGCCAATGAACTGATTTATTAATTTCTAACTCGTATAGTCAATATTTGTATGGCAACACGCCAGCCATGATTCTTTTCAAAGGTAAAGTGCAGGTTAATTTGTTTTATTTTTTACTTTATACTGTATTTTGTATTACTGTAATCATTTTTACATGAATAAGTTGTTGTGGAACGAATCATCTGCGTTTCCATTATTTCTTATGGGGAAATTCGCTTTGATATACGAGTGCTTTAGATTACAAACACGTTGCCGGAACGAATTATACTCACAATTTAAGGTTTCACTGTATGTACATATATACAGGGTGTATATATATAAAATATCGGATTGGAATCAGTATCAGGAGATAATTATATGAAAGGATCCTTATTGGGCCAAAAAAAATAAATAAATAAATAACGGAGGACTAACTACTTTTAATCTATGTTTAAATCATCAAACGAAGTCATTAATTCATAATAAGGTCACAGTATAGGGTAAATAATATCGCCCTTGAACAAAAGGTAAAATCTAAATAAAATTATTTATATCCATTAAATTGAGCATTGTGTATTTATATCCATTAAATTGAGCATTGTGGGAAAGCATATTGGTAAAGTTTAAATATAATGAAAAACATGAAATTAGTCATTTAGGTCCTGATTCAACTCACATTTTGTCAGTCAACTCAGTGCACTTTTATTAGTTGGGTTGGTGCAGGAACAACGGTTTTGCAATTCACCAACTTTCCTAACAAAGGCTTATCTCAAAGTGACAAAGCCACAAAACTGTGATGGAAATAGAAATGGAAATGGAGGGCAGCACGTCCCCATACACCACAAGGCAGGTCAACATAACTTGCGTTTGTTGGCCACTCCAACCTACTCAGCTCTGGTGCAAACTGTCCATGAAGTAAGCTAAACTACTTTAGGGTAGACATGAAAACAACCTCCTCTACTGCCGTCCAGTTCTCAATTTCTCCTTTCCATTTTTCGTGATGCCTGCTTTAAAGAGCGGAGCTGCAAGCTGTACCACGGGGCTAGCCTCCTTTGTTTCACTACCTTCTTTTTCAAGTGTATTACGCAGGAAGGCTGCAGTACTATCAACAAGATTATCGATTTGTATGGGAGTAAAGTTAAGGTGGCCTCCTTCCACTGTGTTGGCAAACGGTACTGAAGTAGATAAAGACGGAATTATTTCCTTAAACTTGGTAACAGCATTGCCAGATAGACATCTGCTGTAGTGGAATTGTTTCCCACATAGAGTATAATCCATTAATGGAAATTCAAAAGTTATTAGAAAATGGTCAGACAGAAGAGGGTTATGGGGAAAAACTATTAAGTGTTCAGTTTCGATGCCATATGTCAGAACAAGATCAAGAGTGTGATTAAAACAGTGAGTGGGTTTAGTTACAGTTTGAGAGAAGCCAACTGAGTCTAATAATGAACAGAATGCATTGTTGAGGCTGTCATTGTCGGCATCTACATGAATATTAAAGTCGCCTACTATGATTATTTTATCTGTACTAAGCACTAAATCAGACAAAGTCTGAGAATTCACTTAAAAACTCTGAATAAGGAGCAGGTGGACGGTATACAATAACAAACAGAACAGGCTTTTGAGTTTTCCAGTTTGGGTGTGAGAGACTCAGGGTGAGACTTTCAAATGAGTTATAACTATGTTTAGGTCTAGGGTTGATTAATAGGCTTGAGTCAAAGATCGCTGCCACGCCACCACCTCGGCCTGTGTTTCGAGGGATGTGACAGTTACTGTGACCAGGTGGAGTGGATTCATTTAGACTGACACATTCTTCCTGCTGTAACCATGTTTCAGTAAGACACAATAAGTCAATGTGATGTTCACTTATCAAATCATTCACTAACAGAGATTTAGATGAGAGAGATCTGATATTTAATAGTCCACATTTGATTGTCCCATTACTTTCCAC